TCCTTCCGGATGTCCTTTTTTTAATCATTGCAGAACACAGCATACTTTAGTATAAACGTTCCGTAATTGTCTTTTCTTAAAAATTTAATTACTAGAAGTAATGCTATTTCTTAAATAGTAACAAAATCTAGTTTTTGTCCTTAGTGGAAACTAAAAAAAAAAAAAAGAAAATTCTTTCTGAATTCCGAGGAAAAAGAATCGTCTGAAGAACAAAAAAATTCGAACAAAAAAAGAAGGGAAGGAAAAAGATGGTTTAAAAAGGTTAAAAAAACATAAAGCTGAAAGTTAAAAACTGCCATTTTTTTATACTTTGCTTTTACATATTAATCTATTTAATACGACGTCCGTGAGATATTAAAAAATAAAAGGGTAAAAGCATTTTATTCGATTAAGTATGCTTTCGTAAGAAACATCACTTTATATTTTTATCACCATGTCTTTCTATTCTTGTATAAAAAGTTAAATATAAAAGGCAGATTTCTACTATTTTTTTTGGCAAATATAAGATGAATAAACATTAATCTTGATTATCGGGATCAAGTAATTACAATCTTGTTTGTGTTTTAATTTAACTTTTCATTTTCTACTGAATGAGTTTAGATACATTCTTAATGTTGCATTTATTCTAAAATGTTATTAATTCGCTTCAGTAAAAAATAATTAATTTTTGTGTAGACTACAAGGAATTTAATTAAAAATATATTACAAAAATTTAAGCTTGTATTTATATTTCTTTTAAAATTAAGTAATTCAAATTAGTTAATTTCAGATTAAAACGATTTTAACAATAATAAAAATTTTCTTTCACAAAAATTTAACAAGAATAATTTTAATTCAGCAATTCATTAATTGTTATATACTTAGTAAGTTAGTAAAGGTTATTTAGTAAAAAAAATAATTGCTTTTTTTTAAAGTTTAGACATTTAAAAATAATTAATTTAATTTTCGACTAGTTTTTGAATCTAAAAATTTAAAATGTATCATATTAATTTATTAGTTCAGTTTTTATGTATTATTTTTACTTAACAAAATTTTTTAATTTCAGCAATACTTTTATAATCTAAATTGGTAAAAAATTGAACTATCATTTAATTATTTTTTTAAATTATTTAAAACTTAAAATTATCATTTTTATTTTTAAATTATTATTATTATTTTTATTTTTTAAAGCTTTATATTTTATACTTGACTTAATTAACTCATCTAGTTAAACCTTAATGAAATTTATTTATACATGGCAGTAGATTTTTGTGAATATCGAAAATAAGTATTTATTAATTAACTTCAGAAATATCCAGAAATTTAGGCACAATTACTTTAAAAAATATGTAAAAAAAATTTATTCAAAGATCGGAAATATATTTAAATATTTATGGGTACATTTAAAACTTTTTTTTGTAAATAAATAGCTTTATTTTTAAGAAAAAAATGGTGGTGTTTGTAAGAGTTCAATCATTAAAAATACTTATAAAGTTATAAAAAAATATTTTTAAAGAATGAAAAAAAAAATGTATTTTCTAACAAAACATAAACGAATTCACGAAAAATTACAATTAAAAAAATTGCAAAGAAAAAAAATTACCGCTGACTGTATAAAATAATAATTTATAAATTTATTTAAAATCTTATTTATAGATAAATTTTTCACAATGTATAAAAATACACATTTAATTTTCTCAATATTGACTGTTTGTTTTCATTATTGTTAAATAAACCAATTGTATATTTATTATGTTTAATTCAATATTTTATTTCTTACATTTTTAATAAATCGAGACATCTTAAACTTAAACCAAATATATATATTAAAAATGCAATAAATAATAACATTCCATATGTAATTTTATGTATACGATATATATAAAACATCAGCTTTTTCTTAAAAAAAAAATAATAAATAATATCAAAAATATTTTTAATCTGTAAAATGGGCACTTGTGTTATAATTGTTAGTGCAATTGTTAATTTATTATGTTTAATTCTATGTTTCACTTTGTACATCTTTAATAAATCAACAAATCTTAAATCTAAACGAAACTTATAACATTAAAAATGTAATAAATAATAACATTCTATATGTAATTTTATGTAATCAATATATGTATAAAATATCAGCTCTTTCTTTAAAAATTAAAAAATATCAAAAAAAATTAAAAAATATTTTTAATCTGTAAATTGAGCATTTGTGTTATAGTTGTTAAAGCAACTGTTTAATTCAGTGCTTTATTTTGTACATTTTTAATAAATCAACAAATCTTAAGCATAAACCAAACATGTAATATTAAAAATGCAATAAATAATAACATTTCGTATATAATTTTATGTAGACAGCATACATAAAATATGAGCCTTTTCTTAAAAAATATTAAAAAATAATATCAAAAATATTTAAAAATATTTTTTATCTATAAAATGCACATTTGTCTAAAATTAATAAAAAAATAAAAAATACTTATTATTATAATAAAACAATATGTAAGAACAAATACAAATTGCAGGAATAAATTGTTCTTACAATTTATACGAATACAAGCTGTAAGAACAGATAAATATTTACATAAAAGATAATAAATATTTAAAGTAACCTAACACAGCTGAAATAACAAACATCAAAATATAACGAATACGTATACAAATATATTCTTTTTCCATCTCATAAAATATAACATATTTTATGTTTCGCTTCATACTTTACATATTATTTACTAGTTAAAATAATGTTCAAGTAGCCAGACGGACCAAATTGGTCGATTATGCTCTAAAGCTTTTCTATTAATAATCTTCGTTGCAGGGTTGCCCTAATTTTTTAGACTAGGTAGGGTTACCAGAATATGTTATCTATCGCTTGCAGATAAATTTATTCATTGGTTTCAAATGCATATTTATAATCCAAATGCAAGTTTTATAACCGGCGTTATTTCAAATGCAAATTTATAACATTATCAGTTTAGTTGGCTTGCTCATGAATTATGAATAACACTGAAGTGAAATATATTTTTTTTAATTTTGTTGATGAACATTTAATTGCCGAATCAAAATTTGAATTTGAATTCATTATTTAAAAATATTGGAATTGATGTTTCGATATATACTTATTTTATATTCAATTTGTAAAAGATTTATTAAATATATGTAAGGGGTGTATTGTAAATCTCCTAATAATATAAAGTCAAAATAAAATTATTTCCAATACATAAAATGTGTATACATTTTCCTTTTGATAAATTTAAAAGATGAAAAAAAAAATAATAATAATAAATTGAAATTTTAGTCTTAAATCATGTATTTCAGGTTAGATTGTGTTTTATTACAAATAATTAATCTACTATAATCTTATTTATTTCTAATTATCTTGTATTAAAGATTAGTAATAGCATAGTGGTTTCTATCAAAACTTTATGATTGTGCTATTTGAAGACATTATTCTCAACCACAGTGAACCCGAGAAATACCATTGAGCCTGAATATCGATACGATATCGATTCCCTAACAAGTCTTCTCGTTTCTAAAATCAGTGACTGCAACTAACACTTCCAGCGGCAATCATACATAAATATTCCTGCATGCTAGTTGCACAGTTTGCCATGACCCCACAAGATGAGTTAGATAGCACATTGAGCTTCCAAATTAATGGATCTTTGTTCGAAACCTGACAAATATTATATTCCATAGCAATGCCAGAGATGGTCATAATAGATACATAAGCAAGGAAGTCTGTCCTGATGAATTCGGGAAGAAATAAAAGAGAACGCTACCTTCCTAAAGGCATTGTTTGGGCATTTCATACAAGATTGTGCTGGCGGAATGTGAGGGCTATCTTCCTGGAAAACGCTAAAACTGCTATTTATCCGCGTTTAGGTGTCTAATGGTCTAATGTTCAGCTGACAAATATTTGAAAATAACAGTTTTAATACTGGTGTTCAATAATAAAATAATGCAGCACGTATAGTACAATTACAATGCACCATGATCAAATGCAAAATGCTCATGCGTATGAAGAAAAAACTAAAATGTAAAATATGTTAGCTATAAAAAAATGATTAAATAAAATATAGCGAATTAGCTTATGTATTTATCTTATTTCTTCATACTTAGAAGAAATAATTTTTTTTCTACTTAAAGTGAAAGAAGATGGTTAATAATATTTCAAATATACTTACAAAAACTTCTCCTTAAATAAGAAATTTATATTGTTGTTTTTCTTTACCTAAAGATTCAAGGCATTATAGTAGTAGTAGGTAGTAGTAAGGTAGTGTAGGGTATTGTTCTGAGGAGCAGGGATCTTTCGTGTCTCGGATGACTTTTAACGTTTCCTTTTGGTTAATATTTTTTAAATTTTTTTTTTTCAAAAGCTACTGTTTTTTTTAAAGTTTTTTCATAAAATTTCCTTATTGGTTTATTTATATTTCTTTCACGAGCTTTTTTATATGCAATATTTTTAATTACTTTCACGAGTGTTTTTATACAAAATATTCATTCAAATTCCTTCACAAGCTAATTATTATACATGTAAACTATTCAAAATTGTTCTAAAAGATCGTCTGATGAAAGCAAAGACAATTTTATTTCAAAGTGAAAAGGAGATTTTTAAAGAAAAGAAATTACTTGAAATTTCTAGTTTTTAATCTTTTAAAATTGCTGTTATGCGTTTTGTTCTTACATTAAATTCTACATTTTACGGGTAACCTGCATAGCGGCCCAACCGAGTACATTGTTTTATTTTATAATGTGTTTGAAAATATGTTTTATTTATTAAATATTATATCCCATTAAGTTGCATCTTTATTCTCCTTTAGCAAGTTGCTGAATTCGTAAAATGTCCAGAATCTGATAAGTTTTACAAAAATCATATTCGTAATATCTTCCACTTTGCTCATTTTTACATTCAGCGTGCAAAGCTAGTGGAGAAAATGTGCGATACAGCACGTACAATATCAACTGGCGAATGGCACGATAAATCTGTAGGTCAGCGAATCCTACCACTAGATTCAAAGAGCCAACGGCCGTACCATGAATATACCGGTTCTCGTTAGATCACCGAAGTTAAGCATCATTAGGCGCGGTCAGTACTTCACCTGGGAACACTCCGTTGGCAAATTTGGGACCTGAATGGCCGAGTTACCTCTGGCGCTAAGGGAATGGATGTTTGTTGGTTCGAATCCATTTTTAAGCCGTAGGTCCCGGTCTCCTATGACTGTAAGAGCGTCACGGAGCAAAAGTCAGGCTTCTACCTACGGGTGCTCCATCACAACAGAAGTGCTGCTTCCTTCCCTTCAATCATGAATATGGGCATTCCAGCTAAGTGGGATAAGAAACAACAACAACAACAGATTCAAAGATGAGGGTAGGACTGTTTCAACTCGCAAATGTTACCGTAAGGGAATTGGTTTTGTTTGTATCTAAGAATTTGCCATCCTAATGACGAATACATTCAGGTAGAACAACAACTCTCACCAAAGATGTATTTCCATCGGATATTAAAATCTCATAGCTTAGAATGCCAGCCAGGCAAACGTAGGCTTCTCATCGGCTGGGTGTGAAAATTTATTATCTGGCAGAAACGAAAAACTGGCGAAAAAAACCACGAACATGTTTCGATCTGTGGCATGTAGTATGTCTTGTCATCGTACATTTTCTCTAAAAGTAGTTCTTGAGAATTATAATATTTGCTTAATCTTTAGAGCTTTAATATTTTAACTAATCCATAGAATCTTCTTGATTTAATCTGGGAATCTACAATACCAATCTTAGGAATAGGATGATACATTTAATAGCTTAGAATGTCTTACTGTCTGCTGAACCAGAAGATAAACATATCGCAGGCGAGTTGTAAATACCAGAAACACTTTAGGAATTTTCGCCGAAAACTATTCCGATACGCGATTTTGTTATATATACAATTTCTGAAGGAAATAGCAAATATGAAGCAGATCTGAGAAACAGATAAATTTTCGAAAATATTTTCTAATATAAGATTTTTGTATATAGTTTATTTCTTCCAAAAAAGATTTAAATATAAAACACATGTGATATTTGATATAGAACAAGATATTTAATATAGCTAGGGAATAAAATTATGTTATAAATTTGGTTCAATTTTGATAGTGTAGAGCTTGAAAAGAAGTTTTAGAATTGCATCATTTCGAAAAATATTACTTCCTTCTATCCCATAATAGTAGCAATAGATGAATTTAATTTGTTCCATGATAAAAGTAGCAGTGGATGAATTTAATTTGTCCCATAATTATAGTAGCGATTGATGAATTTACACCAATTTAATTTACCCCATAATAGTAGCAGCTGATGAATTTAGTTTATTCCTTAATAATAGTAGCGGTCAATGAATTAAATTTGTCTCATAATAATAGTAGCAGTTGATGAATTTAATTCGTTCAATAATAATATAACAGTTGATGAATTTAATTCATCCCATAATAATAGCAGTTGATGAATTTAATTCACCCCATAATAATAGCAGCAGTTGATGAATTAATTGTCCCATAATAACAGTAGCACTTGGTGAATTTAATTGGTCCGATAATAACAGTAAAGTACTTGATGAATTTAATTGGTCCCATAATGAAGTGTGTAGCAATAATATACAATATAACATTTATTATAAAAATATTTAAATTAAACAATAAAATAAAACATATTATGCCTAAATTATTATTTCTTTAATGTTCATCAGGTAGTTTTCATCAGTATGAATATATTTCTTAAAGTCCATAAATTTTCCTTAGGAAGTACTTTTGACAGACAAAAATTCTTATTCTCTTTCTTCTTATTCTTTTCTTTTTGAGAAAAAAAGTTTGATGGCGCTTGAAACTCGTTTTATGGATTTTCCTTCTTTCAAAAATTCTGAATAATGTAGATTTGGGATACTTCAATGTCGTGAGCCGCTGATCTCATGGTGCCTCTTCTGCTAAGAGGAATATGTCTAAATGTTTCTCCATAATCTTAGCATTTATGTCCACAGTTTTATTTTTTCAAAGAATCAACATTAGCATATGAATCAAATGGATAATTATTTTCGGAAGCAAGTTCCCAAATTATTGATAGGGTCATTCTATTGTGCTTAGATCGTTTTGCAGCTAACGTAATTGCACCTTTCTGCAACTTTTCGTTTTCCTTTTAATGCATCAATTACAACTTGATCTTTGCTTGAAAACTATTTTTTTTTCATTTCACTTTTTACAATGGATTTATATTCGACTGAAATAAAACAGCTGATTACGATCAGCGGATGAAAACAGAAAATAGTTATAATTCGAAATAATTAGATTAACCTAAAAACTGAAACATTGATTCAGTATATTCGGAAACATTAATTAATAATATATAACTGCATTCGTGAATAAATTTTAATTGAAATATACACTTACTACTATTATAATGGACATAAGGACAACCAAACATTTTAAAACTTTACTCTTAAAAGTATGTATATATATACTTTATCAAAACACACATGCACTGTAATATATTATATATATATATGCAGTGCATCTGTGTTTTGATTTGATTTTGAAATTATGTGTCTAGAGCGATAGAAATCAAATACGTAAGGAGATTTATAGAGAGACTGATATCTAAACAAACATATATATATATATATATCCCAGGCCTCAGGTTACATGTGTAATGGAAGCGTGGTTGTCTCTATGCACTTTCAAACACACACGCCCACACACATATATATGTTAACATAAAATATTTGACTTGTCTGAAGCAAGCCAGATAACTATTAATCAATAGTGCCTTGCTATTGGCCAATACACGGCCAGCTGACATTTAAAAATAGTATTACCTCAGCCTTTCCCAAAATTGCTAAAATATTTTTAAAATTATCATGTTTGAGGAGATTGGTTTGGTTAGTCGTTCTACGGTCATCTTATGCACACGAGGGATAAACAGACTGGGACCTACAGTTTAAAGTGTATTCTGAACCACTACAAACATCCTTGGCAACGCTGGGAATCGAACCCGAAACCTGTGCCACCGAGCGCATATGTGCATATTTATTGTATTGTATTGAGATTAATTTATTGATTTTAAATAATTTGATTGAGTGGCTACTAAGAAAAATTATTTTGATTTTGAGATTGTTTGAAAAAAAAATTGCATGGACTTCACATTAATAATTTTTATATTTTCATGTGTTTTAATCGTAATTCAGAAAGAAGTAGGTTAACAGGCTATAATTTATCACGACTAACTTTAATTTATTACAGTTTTGTTATTTCAGTAACAAAAACATGTACAGGTCATCAAATAGGTGGTATAAAATTAACGTTTGATCCTTTTATTACTGAAACTTTGCATCAAAGCCTCTTGACCAAATAAATTTACTCACCTAACAAACTTCTCTGTCAGCTATGACGCAATCCTTGCTCAAATTGATGAAAGGAGTCATTTCCCCCCCCGTACCCAATGGAGTGCTTACATCTGTCATGTTCTCTGTACCCAATAGGACACGACCATCTATCACTGCAAGAATCATTTAGAAAAAGGATTATCGGAGATGGATCAGATACCATCCCTTCTAGAGTTTATGTGAGATGATCTATTTAAAATTTAATTTTTTCCTTTTTAAACATGCAAATAAAATCTATCTGAAATTAGCTTAATACCGTAATCGTTTTATCACTGTAATCGACTAGTCTTCTTCTTCTTCTCTTATTAATGGGCGGCCTGATAGCCAATTGACTAGTGCTCTGGCCTTTTATACCACAAGCTTCAGGTTCTAATCCCGGCTGTGGCATGGATGTTTGTTAATGGTTCCGAATCCACGTTACACTGTAGGTCCCGGTCTAATTAGACTAAAGTGTGCACAAAATGAACGTAGAGCGGCAAACCAAATCAAAACTCTTCTTCAATGGCGTAACGCCCCATAGTGGGTCAAGGCCAGTCTGTCTACTGGCAGGTTCCGGAACAAGAGATGTTTTCTTTTTACGAGATAGGGATGTCAGCGCTACACCCGACGCTATACAGTCATATTAGACAGGGACCTAAGATTTAAAGTGGATTCCGAACCACTACAAACATCCATGGCACTACTGGGTCTCGAATTCGAAATCTGTGGCACCGAGCGCCAAAATTGCAATCGAATATTACACTCAGTAAATAATCAGTTCGGGATATGACATATTCAAAATTTTACCTCAAATATTTCAGAGCAGAATTATATTTTTTATATGTTTAAAGTATGATATTTTCATTGAATGGTAATTAATTGACAGTATATTTTTTCAAAGAATTTTGTGGTATTTTTCACTAATAATTAGTCAAAATGTAAAAAAATCCTTTGCGTTAGTTAATATTCCTTCAAAATATTCTTTTTATCACAATAATTTTTTTTTACATGCCCGAATTGTAGCTCAGGGGTAACGTGAACTGGTGAGTATTAGGGTGGAGGTTCAATCCGCTGGCGGCTTTGTTGTAGATACTGTTTCAAAAAACGAGGAGATTCGATGGCGTTTGGGATGTTCAGCATCTTGGCTCGGGAGTCGGATTACCTAGTGGGAGTTTTCTGGGATTTTCTCCGATTCGATAAACAAATTCTCGAGGTAATCTTCCTAAAAGTTCTTCCGGAAGGCACTGCCCTCCTTCTTCAATGTCACTGAACCAAGTCAGACTTCTACCTACAGCAGCTCCATCACAACAAAAGCCTCCCCCCCATCTTCCATGAGACCACACATAGGCCCTTGGACTTGATCTAGATGCTTTTGTCTACCAAGTGGGAAAAGAGAAAAAAAATTTATATTAAATACATCCTAATACAATAATTTTCATAATAAAAACGTAAGACATTTTGGTTTCTTAAAAAGATAGAATATGTGAGATCCCTTGGGCATTTAAAGTAATAAATTTAATATTTATTGACCAAAAAGCAAATGATAACTGTAAGAAATAAAATATAAACGTCAGTAAAACACATATTAATAACCTTTATCCTCTTTTGTTAAAAATAATAAGACGATTTTACAAAATTTATAAATTGAAATTTCCGCCTGTATTTGATACTTATTCAAATATTATACATTCTAAAATAATAAAAATACATACACAAATCTTTTGTTAAAAATAA